ACACACACACACACACACACACACACACACACACACACACACACACAATGACATATTTTTAAGCCCTAGAAAAGAAGGAAATCCTGTCACATGCTACAACATGGATAAGCCTTGAATACATTATGCTAAGTAAAAGCCAGTCACAGAACAAATACTTTATGATTCCATTTACACATGGAATCTAAAATAGTCAAACTCATAGAAACAGAAATTAGAATGGTGGTTTCCAGGGGCTGGGGGAGGCAAGAAGATGTTACTCAATAGGTATAAAGTTTCTGCTGTGCAAGATAACTAAGCTCTATGTATATAGCAACTTGAATATATCTCCAGAGAATTGTGCTGAATGACGAAAAGCCAATCCCACCATTTGCATACTGTATTATCCCATTTATATAACATTCTTGAAATGACACAATTGTATATGTGGAGGACAACTAATAATAGAGTCTGGAGGAAAGTGAGTGTGGCTATAAAAGGGCAAGATGAGGGATCCTTGTGGAAAACTGGAAGAGAGCTTTGTGATGGAAATGTTCTGTCTCTTGACACGATCAATGTCAGTATCCTACTTGCGATATTACAAGATGCTGCCCTTGGGTGAAATTACCTAACAGAGACCTATGTCTCGCTGTATGATTTCTGTATCGTGTTTTACAACTTAACATGAATAAATCCACATGTATCTCACAATAAAATATTTCATTTAAATACATCATTAAACACCCCCTAAGGCTAGCTGCTGTTGACAGTTTTGTAGCCACTCAGACGTTCAGCAAATGTTTTTAAACTTGGTTTTATTGTTTACAGTAGAAAAGGGCCTCAGCCAGGCGCCTGATTCCTATCTTTCCTCTTGTATAAGCTCGTGATTCAAGCAGAGGAATATGGCTTCAAAAACAGAAAGAGGCTGAGGAAAGCAGAAACAGAGAACAAAAATGGACTGGTCATTTCAAAGTTACTTTCCCTGTCAAGGTTAAAGCAAAGGGGATTTCTTTTATCATGGCTGCTAAAACTGGCCTGTTTGGGACTTGGCTATTATCTCTCTCTCTCCTGAGAGGAGGTAAGATAACAACTTAGTTGGATTTGGTGGCCTGGAACTTCAGCATGAGTAGCTCCATTTCGTTTTGATCTGTTGGGCCTAGTGCAGGAACTCAGTCCAAACCAATAGTCTCCTATACATTTTTTTCTACACCTATGCTCATTTTCTTCTTTGAATATCTGTATATTTTACAAATGTTCTACAAATAAGTATGATTATCAGCTTTCAAGTTGCCTGGAATGGTCCCTCAGTCCAGTCCATTGGCTGGACTGCAGAATGTCTGCAGCAGATGTGACACACCTCTTTTATTCCCCTCATTTCTCTGCTTCCACTCATCCCTTGTCCTTTTCTATTTTCCCTCCTCCCTCATCCCCCTCCTTACCCATTCTTTCCTCTCTTCCTCCTCAGCCTGTCCTGCCCTCCCCAACTCGACTTCTCTTTCTTTTCTCCTTTCCCCATCCTTGTCTTCTTCCGTATAGTTCTTTCCACCTTCTCGTCCCCCTTCCCACTCTTTCTTTTTTCCTACTCCTTGCCTCTCAATTCCCTTCCTTTCCTGCCTCCCTGCCCCTCTCTCCTCTCGCCCAGCTCCCTCTTCTTTCTGTTGGTTCCTCTCCTCCCTGACCTGTTATTTTCCCTCACTCTCTCCTCAGCCCTTCCTCCTTCTCCTCCTTCTTCCAATCCCTCCTCCTTCTTCATCTCTTCTTCCTCCTCTACATCTCTCCTCCCTTTCACGTCCCTCCTCCTCCTATCTCTTCTCCCCGCTACTCCCCATCCCTCCTCCCTTTTCATCCTTCTTCCCACTCCTCTTACTTCTCTATCTTTTCTTTCTCCTCGCCGCTCCTTTCCCTCCATCCTTCTTCCCACCCTTCCTCCCTCCGTCTCTCCTCCCTTTTCCCTACCTCCTCCCCCTCAATCCTCCCTCTCGCCCCCGCCTCCTTGGCCGCGGAGGCCGCTGGGAGATGGAGGAGCTCATTAGGCTCTGCTCTACTCGGCTCTGATCGGCCGAAAGGGCCCGAGGGCCGGTGGCGCGCACGGGTTTCTGGGAAGCGTAGTCTGGCGCAGTCCGCGCAGGCGCACAGCGGCCGGGCAGGCCTAGCGGGCGCGGTCATTGTCCTGGCAGAGCGGCGAGCCGGTGAGTGTGGCTGCGGGGTTCCGCCCACCTTCTACCTTTCCGGGGGCCGGACCCTGGCCCCAGGGAGGGCGCGGCCTGATGGAGAGGGTGTGCAGGCCCAGGTACGGGGAGTGCAGGTATGGGTGCTGCTCCAGGGCGTGCGGTGCTAGGGAGGACGTACAGGCCGGGACCGAGGTGCGCTCGCTCGGAGAGGCGGAGCAGCTGAGGAGAGGGAGAGGGGACGCTGAGGGGAGGCGGAGCAGTTGAGAGGCTGAGGGGAGGCTGAGCTGCCGAGGGGAGGCTGAGGGGAGGCTGAGCAGTGGCTGAGGGGAGGCTGAGCAGTGGCTGAGGGGAGGCTGAGCAGCTGAGGGGAGGCT